GCCGTTATCCCTACTTTCAATTAAACCCAAGGAATCCTGTGAAGTGGACTGCATGAAGCACTCTGTTATCCCACAGTACCTCCTCTGTCAGGTCCGATCTATTGCAGTTCAGCATTTGACATTGATTTTTGAAAAGTGGGCGTATGGCTTTGCCAGTATTTTATTTAGTTTATTGGAATGGCCCCTTATTACATCAGAGCATAATCTCCGATCACCACAGAGTAACTGCAGGGGTCAAGTTGACCTGTTACATATGCAAAAATAAACCGTTCAATATTAGTGTTGGTGATTATGGGGACGGCTGGAGGCTGGGGACAGGACGTAAATAGAAAGAAAAAAAATAACATTGGAAAACTTTCACTGGTCAAAGGTTTAATCTCTTCTCCCCGTAACTTCAACAAACGTAGGTGTGTTTCAAGACTGACCTGTAATTTATGGTGTGTCGTGAATTGAGCGGTGTCTCTATCAAACCTGCTCAAACAGCGGACCCCTATTCCTGGAGGAAACACCAGAGCTAAGCGGACTTCCTCACTTGCAGCAGCCCGCCTCTCCAAGGCAATGAGTCATGGCAGTATGTGAGCATGTCTGGCCGAGGGAGTCAAAATCATTCCGTGCTCACAACATGTTTACTCGTGTGTTTTAGTATGACCCTTTCAGTATTGATCATCTATTGAAGACGTTTTTATTCTCCCTGTTTTCTTGTTGTCGGGCTCCTGCAGAAACTTGAGGAGGAAAAAGGCAAGAAAGAAAAGGAGCGACTGGAGGTCGAGAGGGAAAGGAGAGAAAGGGACAAAGAGCGGGAGCGCGAGAGGGAGCGCCGCGATCGCGAGAAAGAGAAGGAGAGGGAGAGAGAGAGGGACAAGGAGCGGGAAAGAGACCGAGACCGCGAGCGGGAGAGGGAGCGGGAGAGGACGAAGGAGCGCGAGCGGGAGCGCGAAAGGGAGAGGAGTCGAGACGTCAGTGAAGGCCGAAGCAGATCGAGGTCAGTGGGACCCGTGATGTCCAAATAAAGCATCTCCATGTATTTGTACTGCGAGAGAGTCTGCATCAAAACATCGAAAGGAATCTGATAACGAACACAGAATTCTTTTACCAGCAGACCTTTAGCTTCTAGGTTTAGGTACCTTGAAAGTGCTTAAATTTGACTGTTACCCCTTTACTCTTACAGCTGTATGAACCCTAAAGTAAACCGCTCATGCAAATCTAAAATAATTAAACAACTTCAGTAAACAACACTGTCTACAAGGGGAGCTTAACCTTTTTGTGCAGTTTTCCTGCTGCTGGACTCATTTAATCAAATTTTGCAGAGAGAGGACAAGAGAAGAAAAAAAAAGAGACCGCGAGGAAGACGAGGAGGACGTTTATGAACGAAGGAGACTCGAGAGGAGGCTTAGAGACAAGGAGGCGGCCTACCAAGAGGTAGATTAAGAATCTCTCCTATCTGATTTAAATCAATGAAACAAAAGATAATTGGCTTATGACTCATTTGTTGATGTCTGACTGAGTGATGGTTAAAATAGTTTTTCTTCTGAAAGCGCCTGAAAAACTGGGAGATCCGCGAGAGGAAGAAGGCTCGTGACTACAGCAAAGAGACGGAGCGAGAGGATGAGCGGCGCCGGGAAACGGTGCACATGCGCGCACACCTCCCCCCAGATAGCGAGCAAATGATCAATCCGGAACTCAATTTGTAACGCTGCTCCACATTTTGTCACTTGTGTTTTTAAATTCAGATGAAAGAAGCCAAAAGGCTGAAAGAATTCCTTGAAGATTATGACGATGACCGAGACGACCCAAAATACTACAGGTGATTATCTTGGTGCACGTTTAGGAGTGTGAGGCAGACGGTATTTTTTCCTTCGTCTTTGCATTCGTTGGCCCTTGACTTCTTTTTCTCATCTCCAGGGGCAGCGCTTTGCAGAAGCGGCTCCGTGACCGGGAAAAGGAAACCGAACTGGACGAGCGCGACCGGAAGAGGGAGAAGGAGGAGCTGGAGGAGATCAGACAGAGGCTTCTGGCTGAAGGTCACCCCGACCCCGACGCCGAGCTGCAGAGGGTGAGACGCTCCTTCAGCTCCGTCCTCTTTGGTGACCAGCAAGCCGATATCTTAACTGCCATGTATACCAGAAACCATTCCAGAGTAAAACAAAATATATAAGAGATAACACAAGATTATTCTTAGTCCCGCAGCGGGGAAATTTACAGGATTACAGCAGAAAAAGGTAAAGAAAGATTTAGACTCTCGTTACTCTGATATCCAACCAAATGTCACAGATCAACTTCTTAAAGTTGAGTTTAAGATTTTTGATCTGTCTATCCGTGCTTTTTGTGTTCTTTTTCGTTTTGTAATACAACAGGCATTCATATAAAATATCCCACCAGTCACCAGATATTTATTTCTGACACAAATTAGAAATTAATGTGTCGCGTGAATTTGTTCAGATGGAGGAGGAGGCAGAGCGTAGACGGCAGCCTCCTCTGAAACTCGAACCCGAGGAGGATGTGAGCCAGGAGAAGGCTCACAAGGAACGTGAACGTGAACGCGAACGGGAACGGGACCGCGAACGTGAACGTGAACGGGACCGTGAACGGGACCGCGAACGAGACCGAGAAAGAGAACGGGAACGAGAACGGGAAAGAGACCGTGAGCGGGAACGAGACCGCGAACGAGAACGGGACCGCGAACGAGAGCGGGAGAAGAGAGGGTCGGGGAGACCCGCTGAGCCGATGCCTCGGGTCCCCCAGCAGCACTCGGAAGATGACGAGGAGGAAGTCGGGGAGGAGGAAGACTACCGCGATGGCGAGGACTCACAAGAGGCCAAGCCGCAGCTCAAACCCATCATCACCACTGCTCCATCCGTGTCCTCCGCCAGCGGGAACGCGACTCCCAACACGCCTGGCAACGATTCCCCCTGCGGCATCATCATTCCCGGCGAAAACACCCCCGAGGTCCAACCCCTGGAGGAGCATCGGCCCAAGATTCTTAGTCTTAAACTGGGTGCGTACAGTAGCGATCCCGAGGACACGGAGGGTTCCGCTCCTTCTAGTACACCTAACTAGTGTTTCTCTTCTCCAGGTGCCACCAACAGTCCCAGCCAGCTCAGCGTGGGAAAGCGGAAGAAGCTGGCGACCGGGAAAAGTGTCTTCAACCAGTTCGACCACGAGGAGGCCGACGAGCAGCCTCGCAAGAGGAAACTTGTCCCGCTGGACTACGGCGATGACGACAAGAGCCTGGGGCTGGATGGGGCGGAAATCCCAGGGGCCAAAGGTAGCGTCAACACAGAGGAGAAACGCAAGCACATAAAGAGCCTTATCGAGAAGATCCCCACGGCCAGGCCGGAGCTCTTCACCTATCCTCTGGACTGGACCATGGTCGACTCGGTGAGGAGGCATTTCAGTTTGCAACAATTTCATTAACATTATAATGTAACACGCCTCAAAACGTCAAAGAAAGTGTTGGGGTGTAATATTCTGCTCTTTTGGGGGGGTTTGCAGGGACAACATGATCAGTCATAGAAAATGTGGCCATATGTTCTGAATTTTCTTTCTTTAGACCCTGATGGATCGTCGCATTAAACCATGGATCAATAAGAAGATTATCGAATATATCGGCGAGGAGGAAGCTACACTGGTTGATTTTGTCTGTTCAAAGGTTTGTGATTATTGAATTCAAAACAATGTTTCTCGCTAAAAATATCAACGCTACTGAATTAATTCATTAGTAATAATCGTTGATAGATTTTAGTTTGTGTGTCTGAGACTTGTTCTTATGTACTCAGGTGATGGCACATAGCACCCCTCAGGGTATTCTTGATGATGTTGCCATGGTAAGTTGAGTCAAACGGCCAAAGTGTGTTCGAATTGATATTTCATGAGAGTTATTTGGACCTAAGTATTGATTTATACTTAAAGCCTGGAGCTTTTTTGATGTGGAGTTTCTCTAAACTGACTGTTTGTGTTTAGGTTCTTGACGAAGAAGCAGAAGTCTTCATAGTAAAGATGTGGAGGCTGTTGATATATGAAACTGAAGCAAAGAAGATCGGTCTGGTGAAATAAAGACAACGTGTCTCTCTGTCTGACTTCCTAAGATCACAGCTCTGCTAACCACAGTTTTCTGGTCCAACAGACTTTAAACAACGTGCCCATACACCCTCCATTCCGTGTGTGTGTGTGTGTGTGTGTGTGTGTGTGTGTGTGTGTGTGTGTGTGTGTGTGTGTGTGTGTGTGTGTGTGTGTGTGTGTGTGTGTGTGTGTGTGTGTGTGAGTGAGTGAGAGCTGTGAACAGGAAGGGTTTGCACAAACATATTGCATGATAAAACTTGGTTGTATTTTTTGTCCTTTTATTGATGCTGTTGAGACAAAAGATGGTTGCAATCCACCCACAATGTTGGACTCTTTTTGATTTACTGTTGTCATGTTGAGGCACTGCTCCATTGTGTTAACTAATAAATATGCTTTTTTAAATAAAATGTTTTTCTTCTTTCTTTCTTTTTTTCTAAATATTTAATTTTTATTTTGGTGGATTTCAAGTATATATTCCTTCTCAGATTTTTTTATTTTGTGTCTTTTCTAGCGATTAAACTTGCAGAATTAAGTTCATACATGCTACGATATTCATAATCTGTTGTAGCATTTATAATTGATAAATTAACTTTTTTAGTGTATGTAATGTATTTATTTTCTTGGTTGAATATTTCCTGAATTACCGATTCATATTAAGTAGTTTTCAAGTGCATTGTGCTCAGTTTCATAACTTTGCTCCGCTCCGGTATTTAGTAGTATTTATAAATGTATCATAGCTACTAACAATGCTTTTTAGATTTTATCTTTAATGTCAACAGAATATATATGTATATAAAGGAATACAAAATAAAACATGTATAAAACACCTTGGGTTAAAATCAAAACGATCTTTTCTATCATTCTACTTCCTGGTTTTTCTCCCAACGAGTTGCGCAGATACGTGGCAGCATGGCAGGTTTACGTGGACAGGTTAAACGTCAAAATGAGTTGTGACCCGGAAGTACTTTCTTTCAGTACCAAACAGGATGTACTGGTAGCTAGCTAGCTAGCTAGCTGCAAACCAAATCGGTTGCAAGTAGCATTGTGATTGTTATTGTTGTTGAGTGACAGTTGAATCTGGAAAAAAATACTTGAGGTAACGGATGTTTGCAATCCAGCATTAACGTGTCGGGATTCCGCATTCGTGAGTTTAAGACCAGAGGAGCTACCGAAGCTAGTTACCTTAGCTTTGCTAACGTTGTCGAGGCCGGCCGCTGAAGCGTCTCAGATTGGCGGTGGCTTGTTAACGTGGATGTTTCGCAGCGACCTGAACTGTTTTACCAGAAACGGCGACGTGTGTTTATTCAACTACTTCCCCCCCAACCAACAGCGACAGGCAATGTCGTTTAACTCCACGAGCAGTGAATAAAAGACGGTGCTAAGACCATACGTGCTGGTTGCTTTTGATGGTTTAGAAGATTAGCTGAAGATACAAGTGCAGTCATGGACGATTTTAGCTCGATCAGCCTGCTGTCTCTTGCGATGTTAGTGGGATGTTACGTGGCCGGGACGATACCTTTAGCAGTCAACTTCTCCGAGGTAAGTCTGTGACACGCCGAGCTTTGTAAACTCAGAACGCGTTGTTTCCAAATGGTCAAAGACGAATCTCTGTCCGCCCTTGTAAATCTAAAGAAGCACCGATTGCGCTTGTGTGTCTCCAGGAAAGGCTGAAGCTGATCACGGTGCTCGGCGCGGGGCTGCTGTGTGGAACCGCACTGGCTGTCATCATCCCCGAGGGGGTCCACGCACTTTATGAAGAAATACTCGAAGGTAGACTTCACCCAAACAGTCGGCGATCGGTGTAGATATTAGTACGCTGCGACGCTTTAGTCGATACATTGTTAGAAAACCGTGAATAATATCTGGTACTATTTGACAAGGTCCAAAGGGACTAACTCTTTGTTCAATGTGCAGTAAAATACCACATAGACCAAATCTAAAGGGATGCATGAGACTCAAGCTGCAAAATACTCACATTACAGGAACTTAGTTTTCTTTCTAACTAGCAGATACTCCCAAAGCTGACTTCGTTTCATTGCAATATTTCTTTAGTTGTGAATTAAACATCAAACCAGTAATTCCACAAGGGTGATAGAATGCAAATGTTTTAAAAAGTGAATATTTCAGTGTAAGAACTAAGAACTAAGTTTGACAGCCTGAGGAGGACCAGCGTGTCCCCTTGTGTCACAGCACGTAGTGACAAACACTTCGTGGAAATGTTGTGACACGAGGTAAAATCAGTGAAGAGTGAAAATTATTGTAGCGCGCCTTGTGTTTCATAAAGCATGTGACAGATAAACGACCGGGCGTCCTGCTGACCTTCCTCCACTTCCTGTCATTCTCTACTTTTTACTCTCTAACAAAAAATGATTATTTCACGTTTGATCCTCTCTGTCAGCATTCAGAGGAGAGACCAGAAGTAGATTATATGAGATATGTTGACATTCGTCTGTTTCAAACAGAACAAAGTTCAGCGAGCTGTAAAGAACAACCAGTGGAGGTCTATTCTTGCACAACAAACGTTGTCAAACATGGAGATGTTTGTTTTATCATCATTTGTATCGACGCGTTGTCTCAAAAGAGTGCTTCATGGATTTGTGACGGTCTCTGAATGAACTCGACAAAGTAATCAGATGTGTTACAACCTTTTTTTCTTCTTTTTTTTTTAACCTCCTGTGTCCCTGCGTGTTTCTGCAGGAGCACACCACAACCACGGCCAGGTGGGGGCCGTGGAGGTGTCCGAGACGAAGGGTGAAGTGGACGCGGCTCTGAGCGGCAGCCTGAAACATGAGCACAGCCACGAGCAGCTGCACGCCTGCATCGGAGTGTCTCTGGTTCTGGGCTTTGTCTTCATGCTGCTGGTGGACCAGATAGGCAGTTCTCACATGCACAGCACAGAAGGTCAGTGTCATGAAGGACGGCAAACCCAAAGCCTGTGAAAATGGCGCTTGGTGACAGCAGCTTCGTCCGCGGCCTCATCAGGTGCTCATCCTCAGCAGAGGAGTCATATTGTTGAGTAACAGCCAAGCTGGACCCGGAGGGCCAAACTCCGGGATGGACCCACTTTACAAACGGTTCTCCAGAGCAGCTAAAGATCTGTAAACTGTTGAAAGTCTGTCGACATGTGACACCAAAAAGTTCTCACTAAGTGAGGAGACACAGTTCCATCAGTACTTGGTTCTACTGTTGTATATATTCTCAAACCTTTTTTTTCTTTAAGGCTTAGATCCAGAGGCGGCGAGAGTGTCCTCCTCAAAAATCACTACCACTCTGGGTCTGGTGGTCCACGCTGCAGGTACGTCTGCTCTGGTCAAATTGTCCTCATCAGTCTCAATCACAAATTAGTGATGTGCGAATGTCCTGCTGTAGAATCCTTGTGTTTAATATTTTCTCAGTTACATTACAACTGTTATTCTCTGCTACCAAGACGTTTACTCGTTGAAAATCACATTTTAAGCGGAGGAATTCTGCTGTAAGGAAAATTCTAAAGAGGATTCATCGGTTGCTCTTATTTCTTTTTCTCGGTTCATACACTATTAGGATCGAAATGTTGAAAACGTCGCTGTATATGAGTGATCGCTCGGCTCCTGTGTCTTTTGTCTGCAGCTGATGGAGTGGCGCTGGGAGCTGCTGCCTCCACCTCTCAGACCAGCGTCCAGCTCATTGTCTTTGTCGCCATCATGTTGCATAAGGTAATAATGGCTCATAAGATGTAAAAAAACGATCTCTGAATATGTCATTTTATTGGATACGCATGTATAAAGATAAACGTGCAGCAGCAAATTGTCAGCTGCAGCTCAAACTCTGCCGCTCTGTGGTCTGCAGGCCCCAGCAGCGTTCGGCCTGGTGTCCTTCCTGATGCACGCCGGTCTCGAGAGGAACCGGATCCGCAAACATCTGTTGGTCTTCGCCCTGGCGGCGCCCGTCCTCGCCATGCTCACCTTTTTAGGCCTCAGTCAAGTAAGACGAGTGGCAGACGGGATGGATGATTCTCTGGCTTTGAAAATGGATCTAACAGCCGAGCCGTCGATATTCCTTTGGTCATTTTGCCTCACGCCGTTTTTCTGTGTGTTTCCACTCCTCAGAGCAGCAAGGAGGCCCTGTCGGACTTCAACGCCACTGGCGTCGCCATGCTCTTCTCCGCCGGCACCTTCCTCTACGTGGCCACCGTCCACGTCCTCCCGGAGGTCGGGGGCGGCAGCCACAGCCACGCCCCCGCGGGAGGGAACGGAGGGAAGGGACTGAGCAAGGTGGAGGTGGGAGCCCTGGTGCTGGGCTGCCTCATTCCTCTGGTGCTGTCCGTCGGTCACCACCATTAGACGCAGGGCGGATTCCGAACGGGTGTACAGGGGGAGAGCGGAGAAAGGGACTTCGAACATTGTGGATCTATATGTCTTGTTGTCTGCTGATGGACCTTGTGCTCGCCCAGGGGGGGGGAGGAGAGACCTCTCATGAATTAAACCTGAAACAAGGAATGAATGATGGAGGGAAATCGGAGGAGCAGCACTACAATGTTTTTTTGTTTTTTTTTCTGACGACGAAACATCTTCCAGCTACTGTCTGTGTCCATTTATTACACCACAAGTCCTTTTCTTTTAGAGGGACACGCCAGTGTCGGACCCTTTAGCTCTGTTCAATCTGGTAACTGTGGAGTCGTCGTTATTGTGCTTATTGTTGAAAGAACCGACCTCTAATCGTCACAGGGATGTTTCACTAGATTGCAGTTGCTTAGTGAGATTTAGATCAGAATAAGACGGTTTTTGTACAGTGTAAAATATCTTTGCAACACTTGGACAAAATGTGAGGTGATTTTCAAGTGCCATATTAGCGAGCTGAAAGCGGGAGCTGGAAAGGACGTAACCACGGTGATGGGATGTCAACGACACACACAGAATGGCCTCTGGTTTTGAACGGTCGCGTTCCTTCTGCCCTCATTTCCATTCACAACGCTGTGATTCACCGACATTCCCGACCGATTCTCTCAACGGAGATCTTTTTATGGAGCAGGTGGAACAGGTGGGTCTGCTCCCGACAGACGTCTCTGGATCGCCAGTTTGCCTTTTTGTGGGCCGTGTTTCTGCATCGCAACATGAACAGTCACTTTAATTCTTTCCGTTTTACTTCTCTGGATGTGCTTTTTTTAGTTTTCTTTAATCATAAAGAAGGTGAAGGGGACAAAAGTGAGTGTATAGAGTGTTCAGATGATTTTTGAGGCCAATTATTCAGCAGCTCTGAATGAGTAACTAGCCGAACACGGAGCATTAAGTAAGTTTTGGAACTATTCGCTCAATAGAAGAGGAGAATTCTCCATCTTCGGCTGTGTTATTTCTCACTAGTCACGCGTAAGCAATAATCATACGCATGAAATCGGGGAAATGTCTCGTCTTTTACAGCAGGATTTGCCTTCATACTTAATGCGCAGGATATGTCATTCGGTTAGACACTCTGGATCTCTCTCTCTCTCTCATGGGCTGTCTCTGTACAACTAAAACAAGTAACCGTTTGATGCATTAAAAGCGAAGTAGGGCAGTGGGTGTTGTGGGTGTAACTCGCTGTGCTTGCTCATGTATGAATGTGTGCTGTTCTCAATCATGACCGTCGCTCACGTACGGGGACTTCAGCGGGTCATAATCCTACATTTATAGTCCGCGGCTGAACGTCTCGGTCCCGAGCCATCGCACGTTCCGCCGAGGATATTTGTTTTATGTACAAGCAGAATCGTTTTCCCTACCATCGCAATTCTGAAGGGAATCTCTAAATCCGACGAGGAGTAGAAACCCGCTGGGATTATTCGGGGGGTTCGCATGCAGACCAGTAGCCTCATGACGGCTTTAATATTTGGTGCTGTGCGGGATGTGTGAACATAATGAAAAGCCCCCCCCCCCCCACTGAGCCCCACTGTGTGCCCCTTCATCTGCCTGAACACTGGCATCAGGTGTCCCGCTTAGCTCCTTCAACCACTTGCAATCATGTTAAGGGCTGCAACTTACGCTTCATTTAATTGTCTTTCAATTGGCAGATTATTTTCACGTCATTGTATAAAATGGGTGTTGCAAAATTCTGAGAGTTTTGCTTAAATGATTAAGTTATTATTTTTCTGTTGAGTCATTAACTATGTGTGTGCGTTATTAAGGAATAGTTCCCTCAAGACATGCTAAAGTATTTCTCCATGAGGCAAAATATGTGCCACCATTTAAGCGATGACGAAAGTTTCTGAAAGAGTTTTGATACTCAAAATGAAAGTATGTATATCAACTTTTTCCTACTAAGCCCAGAAACTGCCTCTAAAATTGGCAGAAGACATTATTCACGGAGGCGGCGATCATTCAGAGTAGGAAGCTAATTGAGAAGAAAGTTTTCGAGGATGAAGGCACAACGTGTTAACTAGTTATTTAAAAAATGTCTTAATGCTCCTGAGTGCGGGGGAGTTCCTGTCATGGCTCAATGTGTTTGTTTTATCAGGGAAAAGATGCTTTAATAATGTGACACCAGTGTAACCAAGCAGAGAACATCTAGTCTACAATGCACAGATGCATTTACAGTTTAGTTCACAGTTGAGAGAACTACTTTACTGACGCCGACAAAGCCTCCAACATACTTTAGGAACTGTAGAATGTTCTTTACATTGGAGTCACGTTATTGAGGTGGTTTGGACAGAAGGGATTATCACAGCCAGAAATAACTCAAGCATGTAAATATGAGACTTGAACATATGTGAAATGTCCCTTTAAGTTAAATAAACTAATTGGACTATTTAAAAAATGTGTTTAAACGAATCTAGAAACAAAAATATTTTGCTTCACCGCTCATTTAAAGTCTCATTTCTTCCTGGCATTAACACTTGTTTTCATTGAATTAAATAACGCTTCATATATTGCAACATTACCTGTAAAAAATACTGGACGTCACATTGCGTGTGGAAGCTCTAAACGTCTGGAACTGTAGAAAGTCGTCGTCCTGCCAGATGTGTGCAGGTGCAGTTTCACCAGCCTCCGGCACATGTTGGGGCTGATCCGGGATCAGGTCCGTCTCTGGTACTCTGAGTGGGGCTCGGTGTGTCTTTATTCCTTTTCCTTTTTATTCTGTCATTCCACAATGAGTCTGCCTTATTTCCATACTTATAATTTGATGAATATCACTTTGGGCAATGTGTTTCCTGGCGGATAAATTAAAGTTTTTTTAACTGGTGACAATGCTCTGATTTTGTTCATTCAAGCAGAAAATGTTGCAAGAACAGTCAGTTATTCTGTAATATGGGAAGTTGGAAAAAATAAACGCATTTGATGCCTGCCATAGGAAGCTTTTTTTAATGTATACCGTTTTGTCGCATTCATCAAGGTTAAGAGTTACTTTCGTTCACATTTTTAACATTTCTCTGTGGGATTTTCCTCAAAGGAAACGCTCATTCAGAGGCATTTCTACCCGTTTCAGTTTGCCGGCTCATGCACTCTGTCATGAGGCTGAGCTGTCAGATATCCTCATAATCTGCTGTCCGTCCACTCCGACACATGTTGTGTAAATTAATCCGATACTCAACCAAGCTGAGCTGCATGTTTACAACTCGGACTCCCAGATGTTCTTCTGATTCGCTGCTGGAGCAATGGGTGGAGTGGGGGACTGATGGATGGACGGATGGATGGATCGATGGAGGTCGGATGGATGGAGGATGGATGGACGGATGGACGGACGGATGGATGGACGGACGGACGGACGGACGGATGGATGGATGGATGTACAGATGGACGGATGGACGGACGGACGGACGGATTGATGGATGGATGGATGGATGTACGGATGGACGGATGGGTGGAGGATGGATGGATGGATGGATGGAGGACGATGGATGGAGGATGGATGGACGGATGGACGGACGGACGGCTGGATGGATGGATGGATGTACGGACGGACGGATGGATGGAGGATGGATGGATGGATGGAGGACGATGGATGCTCCGCGAGTGAGCTGGAGGCAGCGGTGACTACAGTAATCTGAATGACGGCTTTTACTGGCTTGAATGAATCCACCCCCACCTCCCCCCCCCCGTCCTCTCTGCCCTCCCTGCTTTCATGCGCTCAGTCTGCCTCCAGCGTACTGACAGCTGCATCATTCCGCCCTGCTGAGTTATTGGGATTTGTTTTGCCTCTCTTCCGGCTCTGTATTGAAGCCGTCCCTGCGCATCGCTTGTCATCCGGGCTTATTGTTATTGACTGCATTATAGTTTTTTATTTTTTATTTTTAATTCCATCGATAGTTGGAATCGGGGGGAGGGGGTGTGGCAGAGAGGATGTTCTCGTCCTCGTCCAGAAACTCTCTGTTCTCACCCTGGTTGTCGATGGAGCAGTCTGACTCTGAAGCGCTGGACATCAGCACCAAGGTGCAGCTGCACGGGGTCCTGTGGAAGAGGCCCTTCGGACGCCCATCGGTCAAGTGGTCCCGCAGGTGAGGGACTGTGTGCGAGTCGCCTGGTGGTCTTTATCTTTTGTCCTGAGAAGGAGCATCAAAAGCCACATTCACTTTAGCAACTAATGTTTAAGGACTTGCTTTTACTTTAATATCTAACGATTGCAGGATCTGCACAAAAATGCTAAATATTCTTAGAGAAGAGTAATATTTTCTTTCCAAGTAGTGTCACTGGATACTGAAGATTATCTTTGTTGTTATTATATTTTGACTATTCATTTGACACCGGAGCTGTGAAACTTTGTCTTTCTACTTTTGTGAGCACAAAAAACATTTGATTTACTTTAATGTGAATTTGTGATGTTGACTGATGAACTTCTTTTCTTCATTTAAGAACATGTTGTTGAGCGTATTGCTTTATATAACATCAGGCTGTACTCATCCACAGTCTTTTTCCCATCACTGTTAAATTGCCTGGATTGTTACCTTCAGTCACAATTAATGCTCTTAGTTTACATAACCGTTAAAACGACGCAGTGGATCCAAAGAGTCCATTTGCTGCACATCCTTTATAACCTTTCCCGTCAGCTTGTATCACAAAGGTCATAATAAAGGTCATAATGAATGAATTCTGTTCGCTAAGATTCTTCATCATCAAAGACAGCTTCCTGCTCTACTATGCAGAGAGCGAGAGGAGAAACTTTGAGACCAACAGATACTTCAACATCCACCCCAAGGTGAGCCGCCGCGTTCTCTCAACACCTGTTTTTATTTTAGTGGACGACGTCTTGCACATAAATGTTTAGGGGCATTTAGATTAATAACTGCTAATAACTGTTCTTTAACTTGTATTATCCGTAAACAACATTATAAATATAATGTGTTTCTGTCACAGGGGGTCATCCCTTTGGGAGGATGTGTGGTTTCATCCAATGAAAACTTGGGGATGCCCTTCGGCATCGTGGTCAACCTGGAGGACTTTACTGTGAGAACGCTTTCATTCCTGCATTCCTTCAGCAGCAGTTTAGTTTGTCATTTTTAAGAAAAAGCCGAGCGTAAGCTTCAGACAGGATTAGCAAAACGCCCTCTCACAATTGGTTAGATGACAAACAGCTTCTTCTGTTTTTGACTTTACGGCTTAATCCTGCAACAAATGGAACACCGAATGGAGGGAATATAATTGCACTCTGGGACACAAGTGTGATGCATAGATTTGAACCGTGTCAGCAGCCCAGAGGCATTAAAGTCAAAGCCCTTTGCTGAGCAATCTGCCTGTGAATAATGTGGCGTATCCGTCCTCCAGGGCACCATAGTACTGGCCGCTGAGTCCGGGGAGGAGCAGGTCCAGTGGATGGAGATGCTGCAGGAGTCGGGGAAAGTGTGAGTATTCCACCAACGCAAATTCCCCTGAAGAATTACAATTAAAATGAATATAATTCAAAAATATAATTTATCTTCTGGGGAACACAATAGTGGGCGGCACGGTGGCGTGGTGGTCGCCTCACAGCAAGAAGGTCCTGGGTTCCACTCCGCCCAGTGGCCTTTCTGTGTGGAGTCTGCATGTTCTCCCCGTGTCTGCGTGGGTTCCTCCCACAGTCCAAAGACATGCTCTTGGGGATCAGGTTGAATCGGGACACTAAATTGCCCGTAGGTGTATGAAATTTCTTATGGTCACCAAAATCTTAAGGATTTATTCTCAGTGAACCATAAATGGACATTGGAACCATCCAGTAAATTGGTCACCAAATTCAAGCCTTTGACCTGCCGGTGGAGTCAGAGGCTTTTTAGGAATATTATTACCAACACCCGGGGAATGGTCCTCCTGGTGAGTGTTGAGATATTTCAGTGAGGATGAGAGCGCTCGGCTGTCAGCGGTGGAGCCAAATGATGGAAAACACCACCTCACTGTGTTCTAATTCACTGATTACTCCGTTTTCTTTGAATCTCTGCGTTGGTCCGACAGCACGTGGAAGAGCGCCCAGCTGGGGGAGGCCATGATCGAGAGCCTGGAGGCTCAGGGGCTGCAGCTGGCCAAGGAGAAGCAGGAGTACCTGGGTAAGCATGGAGGACAGTCCCACCCCCGTCCCTGCTTTTTAAAGGGGTAACGAGCTCAGGCTGTTTTTCTTTCTCCAGATAACTATGGAAGAGACTGAGGAGCTCAGTCACAGAGGGCAAGAGAGAGTGAGACTTTTCATCGTATAACGTTTGTTCCTTTCACATTGACAAGTGGGCCTCCTTTAAAAAACAACAGCGATGCGAGATTTTTTTCTTTTTTTCCGCCAAGTTATGACTATAATTGTTTGACTTTTTTGTAACCACCATATAAAGAAGGTCATTATTTTGTCAAACCACCAACAAACCAAAATCCAAATAATTGTACATTGTTGCTGAATATTTTTCTTGTTAAAGACGTGTCCCACTGCTCTGTAACCCGTCCCCCGCTCTGCAGGAGCTGGAGCGTCTGAACCAGCTTCTGGAGGAGGAGAAGATGAAGTTTGAGGAGGTGGTGGTGGAGCTCACGGCGGAACAGGAGAATATCAAATTGTAAGAACATTTTTAAGTTAACGTTCCAGTTCATGTTAAACTGCCACCGATTATGATCTACAAGTGTGTAAATCCACGTGATTCATTTCCGGCAGAGACCTGGACGGGACGGCCCAGTCCCTGAAAGGTGTGGAGAGCGAAAAAGAAGAGCTGAGCAATTTAACCGACATGCTGCAGAAATCCATCGAGGTATGAAGAACCAAACCTGTTTGCCACTCGTCCACCGCTCGTTGGCACGAACGCGCTACTGAAGGAGGGACTGTGTTCACATCGTGCCACTTTACATCTACTGATGTAATGAGTTGCGTAAACAAACCCTTGTGGGTGTCCAATTATCTTGCTGACGCGGCGGCAGATTAGAGCCACGTGGGGCTGAAATTATGATCCCAACAGAAATCAAGAGTCAAGGGGATTAGAAAACATGCGTGTTCCTTTTCTTGTCTAGAGTGACATGTAGAGTTCAATACCAATGGCCGATGGTTATCTCGGCGTCCGAACTGGAAACAGAGATAAAAAGCTATTTTGCTGTGTTGCTCTTCATGTTTAATAGATATGCAAGTGGCATCTATGATCGTCCAACGTAAAAGACAAATTCATCGAGTCATTTTATTCCTTTATAGCTCACTCACTGTTAACGTTGAGACTTTGACTCTTTCCCACCAAGTTGATTACTGATCTTAAAATACGTGTGCATATCGAGAAAAACTCTAATATATAGTTGAATGTAGCTACTATTAGAAATATGAGGGGCTGCATCTGAAAAAGAGTTAAAAATGTATTGAAACTTTTAAACACTATTATTATTATTTCTATTATTATTAATATTATTACCAGCGCTCACCTTCCTGTAACACTCTTTTCGACTGAGTTGAACTTGGGGGGGTGTGACCCGTGGGTTCCCCCTGCAGGAGCTCTCTCAGGAGAAACAGAGGACTCTGGAGCTGTTGGGGGTGACGGAGCCGGGTGAGGCCGAGACAGCGGGGGAGAACGCGGCCCGCGGGGACGCCGTGGGCGGGGGGCACCACGGAGAGGTGGACCTGCTGGAGGACCTGAAACACATCGAGGAGCAGATGAAGGACCTGCTGAAGGAGAAGGAGCAAGCGCACAACAAGTGAGTTGGCCGTTTGGAGATGGAATCAAACACCCCAGAGCACAACTAGAACTTATTTACGATCTCTGTCAGAACCCTCAGACGTCCTTTTTGTTGATTTGATTTGAAATTCATCAAGTCGTTTTTATCAGGCTGATAAAATGACAATATTATTAAAGAAACAGCGGTTACTGTTTCGGCATCCAAAAGGTCAAACACTGCAGGGAACCTCCATGCTAATGACGCAAAGGATGTAACCGCTAGTGGAAATGTGTATTGATCTCTAAACAACCAGCTGCATTGATCTGCACCAGTAAGTGGGATATTATAGGAGGTGCTATTGACTGTGCAGCACTGGTGTTTCCATGAAACCTGCCTTCACTCTGCTCCTTTTCTGGGAAGTCCTCTGAAGTGCTGCTGGATAGAAAATACAAAAATCAAACCACACTTACGCAGAATGGTTTTACAAATGCAAAATTAAACTAAAAACACATAAATCCACTGATATAAAATATTTATATTTTGATATGAATAAATATGCATTATATTTGCAGTATTCTGCAAAGATCAAACATGACTGTATAATTAAATGAACCATTCTGATAATTGACTTATTGCTTTATTTTCTTTTCTATATTACCATCATCTTTTAATGACTAAGAATACATCAAACTTAACAGATATATAAATATCTGTCAACCTGACCAGCGCACTAATTATCATTTTATCATAAAAATAAAATCTGCACAGCATCACCAGGGGGAGGTAAATAGGTTTTTCAAACTGTGTCAAACTGTTCCTTCCTTTTTGTGTCTCACATAACGGCCTGTGCTCCCAGTTTTAATTTTGAAATCAAATGCCAGGTTTGTGTGTGTGTGTGTGTGTGTGAACGGCACCAGAAGCATAAAAAAAAATAAGAAATATTTACAGCTTTTTTCCTGCAGCGTGGTGGCTTTACAGCTTAAGCTTTCAGCTTTAAAAAGGGTTTAAATAATGCCGAAATCTTTTCAAAACCGCCCAAATCGGAGTTCTGAACATGCTGTCATTAGGATAAAGACTGACACGCCACTGACGAAGATGATGTTGTGTGTGTGGCTCCAGACTGCGGGAGAAGGACCAGCGCGCTCGCGTCCTGCAGCAGGAGAGGGAGTTCTACTCCTCTCAGGCCGAGACGCTGCAGCAGTCCCTGTCCCAGCTCACGGTGGACAAACAGCAGACCGAGGCCGAGCTCAAGGTAAGCAAGCGGCAACCCCAAAAAACGTGTTAAACATTTAGTCCTTCTGTTGGTCTATTATCATCTAATGTTCAGATAAGTTTAAGCATTAAAATACATACTTAGACAATGGATGTGAGAAATACAGAGGAAATTACCTCAGTATTTGTGGCCAGTTGAGGTGAGTGTCTTTGTACAAAACCAGTTGCATATGACGGATTTATTCAGGGTGGTTCATCCAGTCTGATCTGCTCATCTTGCATTACATTTACTGGAACAAAACAAGCTGATTGTCCTCTCGTCTCCCGAGTTTCTCTGCATGAAATTACCTTCTTTTAATGTTTGCATCAACCCGAGCTTCTGCGTCTTCCTCCCAGACCTCTGGACCGAAGCCAGCAACCACCCGCGTTTATTCTTCGTAGTTAGAGCTACGATTGAAAATAAATTCTGTTTTTACGTAACCATAAAACGTGGGCAAACCCGTTGTGCTGCTTTCAGTTCATCCTAAAGAGGTATTCTTTCGATTTGAGGGTTGTCTCCTTCAAACATCAGGACACAGTCTCATTTTGAATGAACTGTGACCTCTTCAGCCAAAACAAAAGCTTTCCTTCGTCACGTCAGCTCAGTTCATCAATAAAAGCCCAATATTCCTGCTGACATTTCCACGTAGAGCTTCAGTAAATCGATGTCCCGCACTCAGATCAACATCCTGTGTGCATTAGGTGGAGATAGAGTCCAGGGTGGAGCTGGAGAAGAGACTGAATCAGGCCGAACAGGCTCTGCAGGACCTGGAGAAAGGCCTGGAGTCCCTGGAGCGGACCAAAGAGACGGACGAGAAGATGAAGGGCGGGGTGACCCAGCTGAGGAGTGAGTGAATCCGCCGGTTCTTCCATAAACGTACGCTGCAAAATGTAGTTTTTAGTTCACATCAGGATGGCTGTTGCAATGTGACCGGTGCACTAAAGGAGACCAACGGATATAAGATCAGCAGGTTTATGCATATTATGCTCTCTGGCTCTCTAGTGTTAAAAAAAACTACATCTGATCAGACACTTGCATCTGTATGACTGCCCTCCTGTGGATGGAGTTTGAATCACATGTTGAATATATTCAGCAGATATTCGATATCAAAGTTAATGGAACATATTTAATGATTTGAGTCCTTCGAAACGATTATTTTATGTAATTAAATAAATAGAAATCGTGATGCCTTTAAGGCTCAAAGCTGCAACTACTTATTATTTTCACATTTTTCACAATTTTTTAGTCTATTAAATAACTTATTACGGTTATATTCATATATGAAAAAGAAATATATATTAATTTTTTTCTTCTTAAATAATTGTCCAAATACAGCTGCAACCAGGGAATGATTTTGTCTTTTAGCTTTGAAAAATGACTAAACTTATAAAATTATTTGTTGAAATAGATTAATTTGAAGTCAATAGACTAATCTATTAATCAGCAAATGTTGGCAGCTCTAAAATGATGGAAATGTTAATCTAAAACTAAATAGTAATTCAATATTCTGATTTTTATGTCTCCATCTACTCGTATGGTAGTAGTTTTATTATTGATGCAACAGTTTGTAGTTCTAATGTCAAAATAAAAGATAAGTCACATTTAAAAAAAATCCAACTTTTAATGAGAACTATTTTATTGTTTTCGGGCAATATTTTGGATTTTCTTCCAGAAAAAGCTATTTAAATTTTTTTATTTTTTATTAACGGGACGAATAACACAAGATCCGGGGCGGCACGGTGGCGTGGTGGTTAGCACTGTCGCCTCACAGCAAGAAGGTCCTGGGTTCGATTCCGCCCAGTGGCCTTTCTGTGTGGAGTCTGCATGTTCTCCCCGTGTCTGCGTGGGTTCTCTCCGGGTTCTCCGGCTTCCTCCCACAGTCCAAAGACATGCTCTGGGGGTCAGGTTAATTGGGGACTTTAAATTGCCCGTAGTTGTGTGAATGTGAGTGTGAATGGGTGTATGTCTCTGTGTTGCCCTGCGATTGGCTGGCGACCAATCCAGGATGAACCCTGTCTATCGCCCGAAGTTGGCTGGGATGGACTCCAGCCCCCCCGCGACCCTGTGTGCAGGATAAGCGGTTTGACAATGGATGGATGGATGGATAACACAAGATCCACTACTTTACCTACCTGTTCCCATACTTAAGTTTTGTGTTCTTCTGTGGACTTAAGTGGACTTTGCCTTTAGAGTATATTTATATTAGTTCTGAAAACTACACAAAGGTTTTACCACTAACATTCTCTCAAAAAACCATATGCCAGTAATGTGTGGATTATTCACATATATGTGTGTTTGCCCATGCAGGATTCTTTGAGGAGTGCATCTGTGCAGCAGAGATTGAGGCGAAGCTTCCATCGATAATGAAGAACGCCGTGTATCTGCACAAAGCCGCCGCGCGCAGGATCAAGAGCTGCCGGATCCAGAGGAGAGCCTCCAGACACCACTGGTGTAAGTCCGTTACAGCGACCGTCACCAAGGACGAATACATGAATTCACCTGCTGTCATTTAAACATACGTCCACGTATCGACAGTGAGACTCATGCCGTCTTTTCCTTTCCTCTTCCTGCTGCTGCTGCAGTGAAGCACTCCAAGTCTTTTGCCGTTTCCAGGTGTGATGACGACAGCATGGAGGAGCTGCGAGAGACGGCCCGCCGACTGACCACCGACAGCAGCTTCAGGGAGAGCGTGTACGAGATCATCGCCCGGAAGGACGCCACCAACAAGCCCGAGGACTGAGAGGAGGGGAGGCCATGTTGAAGGGGGGGGGGACGGTCCTTAGCTTTAGATTTAGAGATCCTGATGTGAAATCCACTATTAAGATGCTCAAACGTCTTCCGCCAAACACTTTCTAGGGTCCGCGGAGCGAAAGTCTACTTTTCTACATTACTGTTTGTGACACTTTCCAACATAAAGAAACCAGAATAGATTGAAAACCAGATGTGATTCAGCAAAAGAGTAAAGTATATGAATATTAGGAGGAATATAGTGTTGCTCCATCTGATAAGAGCCTTTGTGGTGTCACTAACAGGAGGACACACAATGCACATCCGTCTTGTAAAATTGTTTTTATTCCCCTGGTTTTGATTGTAAGCACAGATTGTGTCCTTCACATGAACAGAGGCTTTTTGAAAACGACTTACGCATTTGTGTTGAACTCACCTTGACCATTTAATTATTGCTACAACAGAAAATCCTTGGCGATGAAAATCAATTTAATTCACTGACACAAGCTTTTTTTGGGATAATGTACAAATTATAACTTCACAGCAGAAAGGATACAGAAAAGATGCCCACATGTTGGGGGAAGGGGAGACTGAACAACATGCCTTGATGCTAATAAAGCTGTTTTTGAACCTTTTACATGTCATTTATGCTTCAGAATAGACTGCGCTCCTACTAGTTTCACGCGAATAAAAACACTTTTGATATGGATGTATTTCTGAGAGAAGAAGGTTCGGCGTTTCACGCATGAGTCAGTGGGAAGAAAAGGAGGATCCTCATCTGTTGATCGCCAGCACCTGAAGGAAGTAAAATGTGACGCATGTGAGTATAAAAGAGATAAAGTCTGTCAAACAACCGGTTTAGTGTAGCAAGTCGAGCCCCCCCCCCCTTAAAAAGTGTCAAATGTCAATGAAAGTCAGTTTGTCAAAAATTGTCTAGTATAGCAAAAAGGTCATAGTAAAAAATAATTGTATTGTATGTATAAAAACCCACAATGTCATAGGATAGTATGTCAAATAAACAAATCAAAGCATGTGGAAAAATCAAGAAAGTCCATTAAAATAATGTAATAGTTTAGTGGGGGAAAAAACAAGTCCTTATTTAAACCCGTCAGAAAAACAAAGAAGTCATAGCAGAAAAACAGAAATATATACAATAGTGGAGCATACTAAAAAGTCCCACTTTCAGCCCGTTAGAATAAAGAAAGCTGAGTATAGCATTTCTTTTTAAACGTCATACTTTATGATCTGAAGAAGTAGTAGTATGATCTGGTAGAGCATGTAATTAACTTATAGTACGGCGCGTCTGAAAAGCTGATTAAAGCGCGTTATATGGAACATGAAAACGAGTGGTTGCATAGTGTGCTGCAGTCCATTCTGCTGTGTGTAGCTTCAGTCCCAAAGGAGTCGCGCCTCAACGCGGCGGATCTTCCCTTCTTAATACAGGAGTTTGTACAACGAGGTCTTTTCCCATCATGCCACCAGAGAGGCAGCTCCTCGCATGCAGTTCCCTCTTATTCCCACACGCTCCCTCTGCTCGGCCATTAGCCCCTCGCTGCTCCCGCCTCACTCCCATCGCCATGGCAACGGCTACGTACATCTGACAGCGCCATGTGCATCTCCCTTTTCTTTTAATCTGTGAGATGGTGGGATTAGCGCAGCCGGAGGCCTTTAAAGCCTGCTGTTGGCTCCCATGTTGTGAGCAGAACGCCCCCCCTCCCCTCTGTCATGTCTGGGTCAGCGTGATCAGCGCCTGTTGTGTTGTTACTTCAAGGGCTGGAAGCAAACAGAATGGAACAAAACAGAAGGCGTTACATGTAACCTGCGAAAGCGATAAAATCATCGTACCTGTTGACCTTGACTCGGTCACCAGGCGGTTGTGTCGGGAGCTGATTGTCCGCGGGGGGGACGTCGGGGGTCAAAAGGTGTCGGCCTCTCAGAGCGCCCGACTGTTTGCTGTAGTCTGCCGTGCAGAGGAGAAATGAAGGGGAAAAGAAGGGAGGGAAGAACAGCCCTGCGGCAGGAATCAGTGTCCTCTGCTGCTTCATCGGCACACGGCCTTCCTGGGTTTGGCTGTCTCTATATGTCTATGTGTATGTCTGTATGTCTATATGTCTATGTGTATGTCTGTATGTCTATATGTCTATGTGTATGTCTGTATGTCTATATGTCTATGTGTATGTCTATATGTATGTCTGTATGTCTATATGTCTATGTGTATGTCTATGTGTATGTCTGTATGTCTATATGTCTATGTGTATGTCTGTATGTCTATATGTCTATGTGTATGTCTATGTGTATGTCTGTATGTCTATATGTCTATGTGTATGTCTATGTGTATGTCTGTATGTCTATGTGTATGTCTATGTGTATGTCTATGTGTATGTCTATGTCTATATGTCTATGTGTATGTCTATGTGTATGTCTGTATGTCTATATGTCTATGTGTATGTCTATGTCTATGTGTATGTCTATGTGTATGTCTGTATGTCTATATGTCTATGTCTATGTGTATGTCTATGTGTATGTCTATGTCTATATGTCTATGTGTATGTCTGTATGTGTATGTCTATGTCTATATGTATGTCTGTATGTCTATGTGTATGTCTATGTCTATATGTCTATGTGTATGTCTATGTGTATGTCTATGTCTATATGTCTATGTCTATATGTCTATGTGTATGTCTATGTCTATATGTCTATGTGTATGTCTATGTCTATATGTCTATGTGTATGTCTATGTCTATGTGTATGTCTATGTCTACATGTCTATGTGTATGTCTATGTCTATGTCTATGTGTATGTCTATGTCTATATGTCTATGTGTATGTCTGTATGTAAAAGAAGGGAGGGAAGAACAGCCCTGCGGCAGGAATCAGTGTCCCAGGAAGGCCGTGTGCCGATGAAGCAGCGGCACACGGCCTTCCTGGGTTTGGCTGTCTCTATATATGTATATGCCTACGTGTATGTCTATGTGTATGTCTGTGCCTTTGCACTCTGGATGTGTATGTCTATGTCTATATTTCTATGTGTATGTGTATATGTGTATGTGTATGTGTGTATATGTGTATGTGTATATGTGTATATGTGTATATGTGTATGTGTGTATGTGTGTATGTGTATATGTGTATGTGTGTATGTGTGTATGTGTATGTGTATATGTGTATGTGTATGTGTATATGTGTATGTGTATGTGTGTATGTGTATGTGTATGTGTATGTGTGTATGTATATTTCTATGTATATGTGTATGTCCGGCGAGGAAAAGAAGATTCTTCTCGGGGGTTTGAACCATTTGCGCTTGACTTGCCCCCCGAAGGAGCAGCTCCCTTAAAAGCCTCTGCTGTTGTCATGGAGTTGTGCTTCCTGGTAAACAATGACCCTTTTCATCACTGCCCAGCCTTCAGTCCAGTAGCTGAGATAGACGGCGCAGGGGTCAAAGTGAGAGAGCGGAGGAGGGGGCGGCCTTCTTCCACTAACGTGAAGTCCACTGTGAGACCCGCACAGGCCTTACTGCTCATTCAGAACAGCTGATGCACTTTGTCGCCTCACTACATCCATGACGCAAAATTTGGTTAGCTTCCAAAGGCTCTTTGACAATAAAAAAGATTTGGGCAAAAAGGGAACCAAACGAGCTGAGAGTGTCTAAGGACAGAATAACACCGGGGTCTTCATGGGGAAAGAGGGTGAAGCTGTTGGCGGATGAGGGCCGCGGTGAACGACCAGCGGCGTGGGTTCATTTCTCATCCAGGCTGGCTTTCAGTTGAGCTTCCAGGGCCATTTTATCAAAGGTACGCATGTTGGTCTCCTCCCGCACTTTGTCCCGCACGTGGAAGGAGGCCCGGGCCACGGAGCGGGCGCTCTCCAGCACCGCCCGCTTCTCCTTGAAGATCTGCTCGCTCTTCTCCAGCTTCCTCTCGATGGACTGCAGCAGCTCCAGGCGCCTCTGCCTCTCCTCCTCTTCCACCCGCTGCCTGTTCAGCCTCTGGAGCTTCTCCTTCTCCTGCCGGGTGTGGACCGCCCGCTGGGACTTCTCCTTGGCCTTCTCCTCGGCCACGAGCGCCGCCTGCTGGGCCCGTTTCTCCGCCTCCTTGGCGCGGGCCTCCATCTGCTGCTGCTGCTGCTTCTCGCGCTTCTCCGCCGCCTTGCGCGCCTTCTGGATCTGCTTCCCCTCGCGCTTGGCCTTCTCCTTGAGCTCCAGGCCTCGGCGCTCGACGATCTGCTCGTAGTTCTCCAGCGAGCGGCTGAGCTTCTCCTCCGCCGCCCTCCTGGCCTCCTCCCTCTCCTCCTGCTCCCTGCGGGCGATCTCCTGTATGAGGGCGGCGTGGCGCCTCTTCTCCGCTTTGTTCAGACCCCGCCGGTCCTCCTGGCCCTGGTGCTCCTTCTCTTGCCTCTTCAGCTCGGCCATGGTGAGCTTCTCCTTCAGCAGCAGCCTCTCCTGCTCCAGCATGGCCGCCCGCTCCTCCTCCAGGGCCCTCAGGTTCTGCTCCTGAAGAGCCTTCTTATGCTTCTCCTCGCGCGCCGTCTGCTGGAACCTCAGCAGGCGGCCACGCTCCTGCTGCTCGGCGAGCTCCCTCCAGCGCCCCTCGCTCTCCTCGGCCTGGCGCATCCTGGCGGCCGCCGACAGCCGCTCCTGCTGGCTGAGCCGCCGCTGCCGCAGGGACACCTGGGTCTGCCACACCCGCTGGCACTGGAGCACGGCGCGCTGCTTCTCGCGGTCCTCCTGCTCCCGCCGCAGCTCGTCCATCCTGCGCTCGCTGTCCCACTGGAGGTGGGCCACGTAGCGCGTCTGGCTCATGATGTCCTCCTCCTGGTACCGGGCGAGCATCAGGGAGGCGATCTTGCGGTCGCGCTCGGACACGGCCTTGAGGCCCCGCCGCTTCACCTCCCTCACGATGCGCTCCACTTTCTGCGTCGTCTGCAGCGAGTGGCTGAGGTCGCCCAGGCTGAGGCTGCGGCCCATCAGGGAGTTGAAGGTGGCCATGGTGCGGGCCCGAGGACTGGAGGCCTTCGCCCAGTGATCCCGCGCGCCGTCCCAGCTGTAAGAGGAGGAGGCGCCCGACTCGGACGAGGTGCACGTGGTGGTGGTGGTGGTGTTGGAGGTGGAGGAGCAGACCGGCTCCATCCTCCGCTGTAGGGACTCCAGCGAATGGCTCTTTCCTGGCGCCCTGGCGGGAGGGCCGGGGTGCCCGTTGTGCTCGGAGAACGCAGGTCCCGTCACGCCGTTCAGAGGGGCCCCGGAGCTCTGACCCGCCGGCCTCTTCACCGACGGCGTTAATGTGGAGTTGGCTCTGGGGAAGGAGGGAGTCTTGGGTGTCGACCTGGGGAAAGTGTTGGAAGATTTACCTGACTTCCCGACTGGCGGCGGGGGGCCGGACGAGAGCGGCCGCGGGCTTTTTGCTTGTTCCGGCGGAGGCTTCGCAGATCCATGGAAACCACCTTTGGAGGACGGCGTGGAGGTTGCGGCAGCGGCTTTTGAGGACTGAGATTTAGGGGATGTACTTGGGGCTTTAGATGAGAAAGCAGAAGTCGCTTTTAACGTTGGAGCCGGCGCCGTGGCCCTGGAGGCTCTATCGGGGGCCGAGCTGGAGGTCACCGGCCCAGATTTAGCCGGCTGAGAGGAGCCGGAGGAGGTACTGAGCTGCTGCTCTACAGCGGGGGCTGACGCAGCGCCGCCGGTGTTCACCGTCGCCTGCAGAATCCTCCTTTTCTCCTCTCGGACGATCCTCTCCCTCTCCTCCCTGCACTGCCTCAGCTTGGCGTGCCGGTCCCTCTCGTAGACCTCGAACAGGCCCGCCGCGACGCGCATGGAGCGGCCGGGGGCCTCCCGGGCGAAGTCGGCCAGCGGGCGGGGCAGGAGCTCCACGGGTTTGACCCCGCAGCGGGCGCACGCCTCCAGAGAGTGAGGGCTCGTCAACACGTAGCGGCTGCCCTCTGCGGCCGGCGAGTCGAAGTTGAACAGATCCAGGTGCAGTTTGGGCGACGGCTCTCTGTCGGTCGGAGTGTGCGGCCGCTCGGGGGACGGCGGCCCCTGAGAGGCGCCGTCCGGCTCGGCCGGGCATGCGGCGTGGCGGGGGCTGGGCTCCGAGCTGCCGGAGGGTGGCGTCTCGAAACCGGCGTCCCCGTCATCCTCTGCGGTCGCGCCGTCGGCCTGTTCCGGCAGCCGGGGGTCTTCACTGGCCGCGGCCGGCGCGTCGAGCTGTGGGCCTCTGCACTTGTTCTGCTCCTCAGCGTCCGAGGGGTCGACCATAGTTGGCTGATACTGCAGGGAGAGATGGGGGGGGGGGGGGGCCAGGTCGATTGGAGAGATAGAATGGGGGGGGGGTATTTGAGGGAATGTGGATACAATTAGTGGAAAGAGGTTTCAATTAGAGGATTATAGCATTCAGTCCAGAGCTTTAGAGAGATGCAGTCTGTGGGGGAGGGTCATAACGCATGCTCAGAGATGCACGCATGCATGAGCACATATTCATGCACTGATTTTTACACCAGATGAGACATTTCCCCTTGAGGGAAGTGACACAAGACACAAAAAACACCACAGTCCTTTAACAGAGAGTCTATTTTTGGCAGAGTTACTGGGCTGTGCACTCGATTACTCATAGCTTTACTTTTCACTCTACATCCCACGAGCATCCTCAGAATGCCTTTGGAATCAAACCAGGTCTCTTACACGTGTGTCTTATTCCCATTTATAGAAAAAGCTGGATTTAAACCCAGATCTGGTGAATAAACTGCTCCTCATCACGGACTCACACCTCAGCGAAGGCCTCGACTTGTGTCAGCAGCACAGCGGCACGCTGTACACTGTAAAATAATAGATATGTCTCCCAGAACAACATGCAGTGCATCTGACTCTGGTCCCGCATCCCGACGCCTTTGGTGCTTCCCACACGCACAGAAACACCCACTGACCTGCCGGTTCGTAAGAGGTTCGGTAAACCGGTGCTTCGTCCCCCTTTAATCCGTGCAGTGCCCCCGGTTCCCCGCATAATACCAGGTTTCGGGTTAAAGGCTGCGGCCGTCGAGCCTCCGATGGAGCCTCACATCGTCGGACAGAAGGAGCCGCGGGGATCGAACCTGCGCTCCGCGGGATCCAAATGGCACAAGAAAAGACAAAAAAAGAGTCCAGAGTGAAATGTTCTCTATTCAG